TATATATATATATATATATATATATATATATATATATATATATATAGATATAGACACGCATATCTACATTCTTTCACACTTTCTCACAGCTGTAGTGTTAGAAGCCAGAGCAATACTAATATGAGAAAGAATACATCTCATCTTGTGCCCTGACAAACTAAACATTTTTACATTTTATTATGGACACAATTTTTTGTCTAAAGTGAGGAACAGATCCTGCACTACTACTGTAAAGAAAGACCCCTCGAGTGTCTGAAATTGTTGCCATGAATCATAACCTGCAGGGTATCAAACCTGCTCCCAACGACCTGTGCAAAAGACATTTGGCGTACAGCTCTTCCGCATATACGTAAATATACACAACACGTAACAGATAATGTAATCGCGCGGTATGTTCGACACGCGCATACACATAACGCCGAAGCATTTATTCACTTTCCACCGTGACACTGACTGTAGATAAGAGTTCCCAGTTGCCTGTGAAAAAGGAGGCGACCGTATCTTTCTCCCTGCACCTGATTTATATCCTGCTACGCCTTCACCACCAGTTGTTTATCCAAGTCTGATGCATTATCACACTGTCCAGCACTGAATGTGTGACCTTTACTGCACCACATGTATGTAAGAGTGCACGTATGTGTGTGTGAGGATGAATGAATTAGAGTGAGCTCACATATATGCATGTGGATATCTGCTTTTGTGTGTGTGTGTGTGTGCATGCGCGCAGTGTCTCGATGGGCTGCAGTGACCCAATGGGGCTTTATATTGAAATGCAAGCTGACAGGCTTAAAGGAAAATGATAGATGTGAGATTATACGCAAAGATGGAACAGGGAATGAAAGAACAGTGGCGCGGCCCTAAACCTCCTGTCAGTGCTAACCTTTGGTGGGGCTTTGGGCTTCTTTGTTGAAACAGGTCACTGTGTTTGTCCAGGGTCCCTGCAGAATTGAGGTGGGATGGGGGGCATCTAATACTGGTGAATGGGTGGGCCTGACAAGGCGGTGGAATGCTGAAGGATTGAGACCATCATCTCTTATGTCTCTGTCTCCCTTCTCAGGGCCTCGAAAACTTGGATCTCTCCTCGCTTCCAGCCTTGATGGTGACATTTGTGATAAGATCATAAAAGGCAGTGTGTTTTCACCTTTTTGTGTTTGTGGCTGAGAGTGCAAGACTTTTTGGTCCCCCCCGCCCGCCCCTCTAAACAGTCGACCATGGAGAATAAAATCTCATTTTAGTCGCTTCACCGTCACTCCTCTCCTCCATCGGGCTACACACTCACTCCCTTTGTTGTTTATTTTATTTTATTTTATATCTCTTTTGAATAAATCTTTTTTTAATTTAATCCAGTCGACAACGGCGGCCGCGGTCCTCGCTTCGTCTCTCTCCGCGCACGCGGAGGTGGAATGAGGAGGCGTGGAGCACAACTTGTTGAATGTAAATGCCTCGTTGTTTTTCCTTCGTTACGCGTGAGTGCTGTGCACTGCCTAGGTCAAGAGACGTCTCCTCCATACCATGTGGGAGAAAGTAGATCCTACTCATCCATAAACACTATGCGCAATATTACCAGCAAACTCCTTGGCAATTAAGTTGCTGCTTAAGTTAAGTTTTCAGTGCAGCAAAACTACTTCTTCTGTTTTAATTATAGTAAACAAAGATAATGGTCAAGTGTATTCCTAATTGTGTCATTTAGGTTTAAGACCACGTTTCAGTCATTTTCTACAAACCATTACGTTCTCGTCGCCAAAGTTGTGGACACAAAATCAGGAAATCCCGTGCAACCTAATGCAATCCCACACACGGTCCTGCAAGAAAGCATTGCAGGACTATTGCGTCTGTTTTATCTTTCGCATTACTGAAGAGGATAAATACGCCGGAGAAAATCCAGCAGGTTCCCTGCTGAATCCGCCCCGCTGATACAAAATGTAAATATGGTGTTGAGGCTGTTTTTGGCAGTGCTCCTGTCTGTTAAAATGAATAATACTGACGTCCCAAAATTAATGAAGTAGTGATTTATTGCCAAAGCAGCACTTTTAATTACAAAAAAGAAATGACAGGAATTCAATAGGCAGGGAAGGTATTGCAAAGGACTTCAGTCGTAGTGGTAGAGGTGTTTCTCTATGAAGTAGTAGTCGTAGTAGTAGTCGCAGTATTTGGCTGTCAGGTGAGGGTTAACCACGGATCTGTCGCTAGGCAACCGGGGGTGCAGGGACAAGATGGTGGTCAGCTGAGGAGACAGAAGTCAATAACTGCTTTAAAAG